TTATCCTCTTTCATCCCCCTGTGGTCTCTTCCTTTCCCAGACCCCGACTGGACACAACTAGTCTCCCCAAGGCCTTCTGGGCTTGTGGGGGAGGTAGTTATAGGAAATACTACCAGGAAAGACCCTTACCTCATCCAGTCCTGTGGCATACAGTAGGAGTTCAATCCATACCCAAGACCACCATCTCATCGTGCCATCAAAGAAATACCCTCTGAGTAGAGGCCCAAGGGTCAGACTTAGTAGAGGTCACCAGAGCACAGTGTCCTGGGCAGAACCATGTCCAAAGGTGCAGCCCTGTCCTCGGCCCACAGGCAGGCTAGGCCAACTGTCAGCTGGCCCCAAGGGCCCGGCCCTTCCACCACCCACCTCCACCCTCACCAGAGAGAAATAAGCACACGGCACGGGCCCTGCCGAAAGCTAAAACAAGCCAACTCACAAAGGTAAACACAGGACAGAGTCACAGATGGACCATCATGGAAGTGAATGGTAAGTGGATGGACAGCTGGATGTCGCGACTGAAGTAGAAATGCCTCCCAGAGGTCACAGAGTCAGTGCCATGTCTTCACCTCATCCCAGGACTGCCGCTCAAGTCACCCCCACCAGACTGGGAGCTCCCTGAGACCTGGCAAGGCTGGCTATTCTCTGTGACTTTCGGGATCAGCACAGGCCTGGCATTCTGCAGGCACCCAGGGAACATGCGGAGTGGTGAGTGGACATGTGGATGAGTAATTCATTGGGAGAAACATCAGCAGATAGAGATGGGAGAAAGAGGGAGGGAAAAAGATAATTCAAACAGATGGAGACAGAAGTTGTGAGCCACAGAGATGGAGGGAGATGGAGACGGGAAAAGAACAGGAAATGAATGCGTAGACGAGAAGACAGAGGGAGGTTATGGAAGAAAATTAAAAATCAGAGAATGCTGGGTGCGGTGGTGTACACCTATAGTCCCAGCTGCCTGGAAGGTTGAGGCAGGAGGATCACTTGAGGCCAGGAGGGCTAGGCTAAAGTGTACCATGACTGCGCCAGTGAATAGCCACTGCACTGCAGCCTGGGCAACATAGTGAGACCATTTTTAGAAAACAAAAACACAATAGAGAAACCCAGAGATAGATCCCAGTAAAAGTTAAAGATCCAGAGACAAAATAGGCAGAGAGAGAGGAGGGAGAGGGGAAGCCTTTCCTTAGCCTTGCCGTGATGTTATTAGTCAGAACCAGGGGGGGTCCTGCTTTAGTTTCCTGCTAGTGCTGCTAGGGCTGCATTCCAAAGGCTTGTAATCCCAGTACTTAGGGAGGCCTAGGCGGGAGGGTTGCTTTGAGGTCAGGAGTTAGAGACCAGTCTGGGCCATGAGCCTTGGTTTTGCCAGCTTTCTCCCTCGGGCAGGGGACACCGTTGCCTCCTTCCTTGGACACTTGCTGGCCAGAACTGTGCCACGAAGGTCCTCCCACCCAGCAGGCCCCAGCCAACAGCTACGCAGAATTCCCCACCACGGCAGGCCCTGGGGAGAACACTCTCTCCTCAGTTGGTCCTCATTCCCGGTCCTCATTCCCGAAATAATGACTGGCCCCACTCTCCACTGGCTCTGGGCCCTGGATGGAGGTGAGGACAGAGAACATGACGATTCAGCAGGGCCCAGAGCCCCGCCTGCACCAGACACTTGGGAAGGGTCAGAGTCAGGGAGGGGAGCCACTCTCAGGGCCGAGGGTGCTTCCTGTTTCCATGGAGCTGGCCTCGATGCCCAGACTGTTCTATCAGCTCTGGTATTTCCAATTCCTCTGAGAACTGTGGGGGAGGCAGCGGGAGCTGGGAGGCAAACCGAATGGGAAGTGGCCAGAGCCACAGAATTCCCCTGGGTCCTAGAGCAGGGTGGGTTCCTTCCAGCCCCCACCCCATCTGTCCCTAGAAAAGGCTCTGACCTCACCTCCCCCACTTCCGGGCTTCTCGGAGTTCCAGCCCTGAAGGACAGTTCCAAACCAACCCAAGGGGCTGGGGCCCCATGCTCGGGCCCCCTCCACCGCTGCCTCAGCCCTGGGGACCGCGTCCCCCCTGCCGCCCCCACCGTTGCGCCAGATGTGGCTAAGGGGGAGGGGCGGGCACGGGGCCCAGCTGGTAGTGGTCACTCGGTGGTCCTCCTCCTGCAGAGTCAGCGCTTTCCATGCCAGCTCGTCCAGCTTCCTCACTCAGCACTTCCTCCAGCCCACTTTCCGAGACGGCAGCTGGGCCACGCAGTCCTCGAGGTTTGGATTCCCAATCCGGCACCATCCCATCGGCGGCCTTTCCTGAGCCTCCCACCCAGGTGCCCAGGCCTGCCCTTGGCACTCCGTGATCATGGATGAAGGGGGAGATCCCCTCCCTGCCATCACAGAAAAGTCTGACGCCCGGTTGGCCTCCCGCCTTCTCCTCTGCAAAGCAGTGAGGCAGTCCCAAGCTCTGGACCCTTCTCTGCCCCCCAAACCCTCTACTGGTCAGGTCTGATGCTTCCTAGCTCCCCAGGGGATTTTCCTGAGCCTAGCTGTCCATGACAGGGCCACAGGACCCTGGTTGTTCATGGGAGCCCCAGCAACACAGAGCTGAGCACACAGTAGGTGCTTAAGAAAGCCGTGCATGATTCACGAGACCTTTCTGCATTATCCAAGGGTCCCTTGAGGCTGGTTTCTTGTGCCAGGAACTGGCAGTGTGCCCTGACCTCATGCCTGGGCCTTAAAAATGTGGGTGTGAACCCCAGCTTGTAGGGACAGAACTGAGAGAGGGGCTGCCTCCGCCCCCACCCTAGACAGCTCTGGCCCAGCCCAGCCTGGTGAGTCCAAGCCCTCATCTGACCCTCCTTGGCCTGCCCAGGGTCCCTTTTGTATCCTCACTCTGCAGGTTTCAACCTAAGGGTCGGGGATAACTCCAGTCACTGAAGCAAGACAAAAAAGGAGGCCTGGTGGGGAGGAGGGGCCATTGTGGGCCCTTCCCTAACCCACACTGGGCAAGGACGGATGCTGAAGACAGATAAAAACAGGAAAGGAACAGGGAAAATGGGGCTGGGGGGTCACCCTTAGAGATAAACCCCTCCCTCCTCTCACAAGACAAGAGGAAAGAGAGAAAATAGTAGCCACATGTCTGGCACGGTGCTGGGGACTTTTCTTAATCCTCTCATTCCATCCTCCCAAATATGCCAAGAGAAAGGTATGGCTGCCCCCAGGTCACAGACATCAAGTTCCAAGAGCTTAACAAGCTGCCCTGGGGCTTGGCTGGGGCCCTGACTAGGCTCCCAGCTCAGGCACCCTGTGGGCCCGGGTCTCTGGTCTCAGCAGGGATGGCTGGCAGGGCCCGGTCCTGGCCAGGGGAGCCTGTGCGGAGGCCCAAGCTGTGTTCAGAGCAGAGTTTATTCAAACAGTGCCTAACAGGAAACTTGGCTCTTCTGACTCACTCGGATTCGACCTTATTAAGAAAAAAGAAAGAGGAGCGGGGGCCAGCCTTGGGGAAGGTTTCACGCCAAGAGCTGGCTCCAAGGCAGAGGCTGCAGAGTGGGATGGCCTGTGCCCCCAACCCCCTCATACCCAGAGCCTGGAGGCAGCTTCTGCCCACCTCTGGCTGAAGGAGAGGGGTCCTGCCTCCTCCACCTTAAGGCCACAGAGTGCCCCTACCTCGCAAGCGTCTTGTCCTCCCCCACGTCTTCCCTTTCCTCCTGCCTGGGGGTACCCTGAAGCCTGTTTCCACTCCTCCTCCTCCTCTCCTGGCGCTGTTGCCCATCTGGCTGGCGGGAGGGCCCTATAGGACCCCTGGGATTCCAGGCAGCAGAGGCCAACACTGCAGGGGGCAAGCAGGAGAGAGGAAAGGTTTAACCCTTCAGGTCCTGGCGCTCAGTGAGCTCTGCCTCCCAGGAATCCTAGCTGGAGTCTGACTCCCAATCCCATGCGGGGAGCTGAAGCTGCTGGCCAGGAAAGGTGCTTGAAGCCCCCACCTCCCCAGCTGGATTCCGGACATTTAAAGGGCAGATCCATGCACTGAGTTACCTACCCTAAGCCTCAGTCCTGCAGAACAGAGCAATGGGTGAACAAATGCTGTCTGGTGAGGATGGAGGGTGAGGGTCTGCGGTTCCTGAGAAATGGCCATTCTGGTTGTCCCCTCCCAGGGTGGGCTTCAGGAGTGTCCGAGGGAAAGAGGGAATCTGCAGGGGCCAGATAGAAGGCAGGTTCTTTCTACCTTATGTACAAAGCAATTTCTGCCTCCAGTTCCTAGGATGAGGCTGGAGGAGGAAGCCCAGGGGAGTCCTGAAGAGCTGCATTCAGAGTGGGACTTCTTAGACACCAAAGTGTTCGAGTTTCTGGGAACCCTCCTTTCCCTGCCACCCACAGAGGGAACAGAGGCTCTCCCAAAGTACCCTCAGGGCCATCTGGTCTCGTCCCCTGCTGGCCAGGTGCAGCATCTGGACAGAGAGGAGAAAGTACTCACCCAAGCGACAACAGCGGGACCAGGTTAGCTTCCCTGAATTCCCCTTCCTGATGTTCTCTGCTCCACAGTGATCCCATCCCCTATCAATGGCAGCCCCTGGGTGTCATTTCATCCACGTGTATACTCGGGTTACTCCCAGGCCGGGCAGAACTGAGATGCAGGACAGAAACCACACATGATGTGTGAAAAGCTGATCTCTCCCATGATCTCACAAGAACTTTTCGGCCCAGGGGCACACCCATTTTTCAGACAGGGAAAGTAAGGCCCACAGGCCTGTCAAGAGGGGCGAGCTGAAGCTACAGGGCCTTTGTACTCAGGCCCAAGAACTGAGGTGCACCTGGGGCCCAGAACCAGAGGGCGGACCCTGCTCAGCATCCCCCCAGAGAGCCCATCAGCAAGGAGGGGCTCTCTTAGCCCTGGAGGAGGGCTTTGGGGAGCTCAGGAAAGGGGACCCCAGGGGTCCTGGGGAGAGGATGGAGCAGACAGGAATCAGGGGCCCATTCCAGCCAGAACTAGAAGCCAACAAATAAGGTGGAGACCAGAGAGGCAGTGTCCCCAAAGCAGAGAAGAATGGCGGGGTGGTGCCGCCCCCCCAAGCCTTCTCTGCCTGCCAGAGCCGCGCTTCCCAGGCCTGGGTCCCCGAGGCCCCTTCCTCCTCCCTGCTCGACTCCCTTCCGCAGAGGCAGGTCTGCGGCTTGGCTGAGAACTCAGGGACTGAGGGCGCCCTGCAGCTGTGGGGCCCGCCCCATAGCTGAAAGCCGGCGGGCCCTAGGGCCCCGCGGAGGAAGGCCCCAGCAGGCGGACCCGCAGCCGAAGCCTCCCGAAGCTCCCAGCCTGTCGCTTCTTCATTCAGCGTGGGGACGCGCCAGCCCTGCGGCCCGAGCCAGTGCGGGGCTGGTCATGTAAGGCCCCCAGGCGGTCCTGCCCGCCCGGCGCCCCGCGGAGAGCCTCGTGCAGCCCCGGGCGCCGCCCCTGCCCTGCCCAGACCCCTCCCTGGCCTCGAAATGCTGTCATCGGAGGAGCCGTCCCGCTCGGGACAGGGCCAGCATGGACAAAGCTAGAGCCGGGGCGGGCAAGGAGCCGTCCCGTCCTCGAGGCCGTGGGAAGAGGAGCGCGCGCAGGGGGCCACGCCCGAGAGCCTCCGCGTCCCCCGGGCCTCCGCAGACGGGCCACCATGGCGCTGGCCCGGGCCCGCTGGCGGCTGGGGGCGCTGCTGTGGGGCGCCTGCCTGTGCGTGGTGGTGCGCGGGCAGCCGGCGCGGCCGGGCCAGGGCTCGGACCCGGGGCGCTGGCGGCAGCTGATCCAGTGGGAGAACAACGGGCACGTGTACAGCCTGCTCAACTCGGGCTCCGAGTACGTGCCGGCCGGGCCCCAGCGCGCCGAGGGTAGCTCCCGGGTGCTGCTGGCGGGCGCGCCCCAGGCCCAGCCGCGCCGCAGCCAGGGCGGCCCCCGGCGGCGACAGGCGCCGTCCCTGCCCCTGCCCCTGCCCGGGCGCGTGGGATCGGACACCGTGCGCGGCCAAGCGCGCCACCCCTTCGGCTTCGGCCAGGTGCCGGACAACTGGCGCGAGGTGGCCGTCGGGGACAGCACGGGCATGGCCCGGGCCCGCACCTCGGTCTCCCAGCAACGGCACGGGGGCTCCGCCTCCTCGGTCTCGGCCTCGGCCTTCGCCACCACCTACCGCCAACCAGGCCCCTACCCGCCGCAGTTCCCC